GGAGCCCTCCTGCCCCACTAGAGCAGCCTGTGCAGGGGGAGGCCAGTTTGGAAGGGAAGGGGCTTGCCCAGCCCAGTCCCTGAGCCCCAGTTGAGGGCTTCCCAAGAGCAGCATGGGGATTGCTAGGGCCTGGGCACAGGCGTAGGGAGCAGAACAGCAAGGGCTGGCACTGCTCAGAGCCACAAAGCATCAGGTGGTATAGTTGCAGCTGGACTCACGTCCTGGTGCTGGGATGGAGCTGCGGCTGGGAGGGAGCTAGCGGGGCAGGCAGGGGCTGCCAGTCAGGAATGAGGGGCTTGTGGGGGAGCTATGAGTTGAGAGTGAGGGGCAAGGGCAGGGGCAGGGAACCAGCATATCAGTGCTGCTTAGCACCCCACATCCTGGTGAGCGAAGGATGCAGGAGTAGCTCTGATTTTTCTATGACAAAAAAACCCAAAAGAGGAAGAGGAGCTTGCCCAGGGCCAGCACCGGGGACCCAGCTGGAAGGCAGATGAGGTGGCTGACCTCCTGGCCATTTGAGGCCAGGAAGACAGGCATCAACAGTCTGATGCAGGCCACCACAAGAAGCACATCTTTTGGTTGATAGTTGCCCAGATGGCAGAGTGGGGACACCAGAAGACATGACAGCAGTGCTGCCCAAAGGCCAACTGTGCAGCCACAGCTCACATTTAGCTGGCCCAGAAGTGCAGGCAGCTCTGCTGCAGTGTGTGTACCACAGCCCAGGTGGTTGTGTGGTCCTTGTCTGGAGCTGGCAGGCACACTGACGTGGGGCTGCAGGTCCAAGGGAGTAGATGCTGTCACAGGTGGCAGCAGGTCACAGCTAGGCAGCAGCCCCCACTGCCAGACTGCTGCAATGCGTAGAGGGTGCAGTTGCCACTCTAGGTTAGGGCTACTTCAGCAGTCCAGCTGGCACAAGGGGCTAGTGTCCCCAGATACCAATTGCACAGGCCTCAGAAGCTCCTGAGGGCAAATAGCTCTGAACTGCTCACCAGGGCAGCTTTTTATAATGCTGGAGCCAGCACAGGTGAAAATCTGGATGAAAATCCGGGAGGAGCAGGGCAGGGTTAGTTTTCCCCAAGTGGCACAATTTGCCCCACCCAAAGTGCATGTTCAGGCACGTGTGCTGAGGCACAAATCTCTGGCACAAATTTGTGCCGCTGCTATTTCAGCAGCTGCAAGCACACATGACTGCATATATGGATGAGCCCTCACTGTTTTTTCTGCCTCCACCGGCTAAAGGATAATATCACTGTATGGAGTTATAAAAGTTGGAATTTCCCCAGAGAGCCAATCAAAACACAGGGGGATGGAAAACAAAACCGTTAAAGGAAGATTGTCATTTCTGGCACCTTATTAACTGGTGGTTTACGTGCAGATGGGATTTCAGGCCTGACCTGAGCTTAGCTTGCCAGTTGGTCTCCAGGGATACCTTCCCAGGATACAGACATCTGAGCTCTCTCCCTTGCCAAGAATTATGGCAACAGAAACATTTCACTGGCACCTATAACCCTGACATAGAAAGATGAGATTAGCCAGGAAGGGTCCCACCTCTATGGCAAGGCCTGTATTTCTGTCTCAGTGTTTTGCAAATACTGGTATAAGGAACACTTCCTGCACCATTCAGTGATCATGGGCCTGCCTCCATGCTGTACCCAAGACCATTCCTGTAAAAGCAATCCCTGCCTACTCACTCCCACTCTGTGTGTGCCAATTCTTGGAAATGAGGCAATGCAACCTTCGTTGGTATACACACAACACCACTCTTGCAGGCTGTAAACAGATGTGGCATGATGAGGCACCACTCTTACAGGCTGTAAACAGATGTGGCATTTCTCCTGAGAGAAAGCCTTTTGTTCTGCTTTAGGTATCTGTGAAGTATGCAAGATAAAATGTGCTTACTCTCCCCACCCTGGCAACACACACATACACCCACCTATGCACAGAGCTGTGAGTGTCTGTAAATTAATTACAGCTCATTTAACTTATACTGCAGTTCCTCCAGGGGCAAGCCAGTCATGGCCACCTACTGCAGAGGAACAGCAAGGTAGCTTGGAAGGGCTACATTTGTAAAAAGACTGTGCTGCTCCTGTTTTGATCCCAGTCAAAACCTGTGACAATTGGGACTGCCAGCTATGGAAATGAGAGATATGACATTAATGTGGAGGCTGAGGGAAGTGCAATGGGAACTAGGGCAAGGTGTGCTAGGTATCTCTTTGTGATGAGCACAACAGATATCCCATCTCCAGCACACAATGTAATATTTTCCCCCATGTCTCTAACTCATTTCATTCTCCCTTGGCAGATATCAAGATAGGAAAAGAAACTGCTAATGCCTTTGTAAGGAGGCAGAAGAGGGCCTCCTCCTACTATGAATGGTAAAACCTCTCCCTGCCCCACATATTAGTCTTAGGACTGAACTCTACTCTGATTATGTAAGAGGGGGGAGGGAAGACAATGGTGATTTGGTTCATATTAGTACCACCATCTCCATGCATGAAAGAGAATGTTGGAGACACTGGAAGTGGAAAACATCTTTCTAAAAGCACTATTAATATCCTTCAAGAAGTTCCCTGAAAAGGATGGGTTGTGGCTCTACATTGTCCCCTGGCAGAGCTCCCAGCAGATAGGACATGTCCAGGGGTTTTCAATGGTCAGTGTTCTTGTGCTGCTGGGCACTTTTTCCCATAGGGACAGGAGGTCACTGTATACATATACCCTAAAGGCCTTGGGCTGAAGTCCCAGCTGATAGATTGCCTGGAACAGTAACCTGGGAGCTTGTGTTTTATCCTCAGCTGCTACAGCTTCATGGACAATAAAGATGGGAACTGGGTTTAATTTCCAGGTAGTAGAGCCTCGGGGAATGAATCCAAGGGCTCTACCCCTTTGTAAATAAATAAAGCAAACAAAGGACTACATTGGTGGGGAATCACTTTCCTTCG